TTCTCAGGAAATCATTCTGACGATCTTGCAGAAGTCGACATACTCAGCACGAGTGCCGTTCATCAGTCTGTACAGCATATAGACTTCAGTCTGAAAATCCAAATTCCAAAGGATACTTAGAGGTATCATGCCTTCGACTGATTTAGACCAAACAAGTCGATAGCGTTTTGATACAATACATTATCCTTTTCATCCTGTGTCCAGCTTTCGACTCCGTTTATGGCTTCGAGATTGTCCAAGACACTCCTCCACTTCTCATTTTGAGCTTCCAGTGGTGGGAAGAAAGGATAGTCTGTACCAAACAGAAGCTTGTTTGACTGTGGAACGTCCGTCTCCGTCGGTGCTGATGCCGACTTGTATCGCGTTGCTCTCGAGACGACTTTGCCAACAAATTCGAGTTCTTCGGAACCATAGGCCACTGCGTCGAACCACAGTTTACCCAAATAATACCGAGCATCGTGCTTCAATCTCGAAGCCACTACGGGGTCGTGGTGGATGCAAGACGCCAAACGTGAAGATAGCTGAGGCAACGCTCCGCCAGAATGGGCCAGGAGAAGCCGGAGGTTTGGATAACGATCTAACACGCCCGCAAGGATGAGTCGTGTGACAGCCTGAAAAGTATCAGCCATGCTTTGAAGCTCATCTGCTGGAACTCGAGCTCACAATAGTCGTTTCCATCGGGAAACCAAGAGCAAGGGGTAGAACATGTCCATTCTCTTTCTCTCCCCATTCTTCCTTGCCAACTCCATAATGAGGATGAAGGAATATGACAAGCCCCTTCCGCTCAATTGCTTCCCACATGGGATTGAGAGCTTCATCGTCGAGACCTTTCCCGATACCTCTGGTGCCCATGATAACGCCTTTCAAGTGAGGAAGCGAGGAGATCTGGTCCACAATCTGCACGAGCGAGTTCGAAGACACAGATGGGACCAGTGGTAGAAGGCCAAAGCCGTATAGTCTCTTTAGGGATAGAGATACCGTAGGAGAGGTTTGACAATATTCCTCTAGATCCTCATTAAGAGATTTTGCCATATCGACAGCGCTGGACGCAGAGAGGAAGTCTAGCCATGGATTTGCAGAGCTGTCAAAGACAATGAGCCATAGTACTAGGCAATTCAGTGGCCAGCTTAGTACCTGACGATTGAGATATCGATGCCGTGTAAATCCATGAATTTGAGTTTCTCAGACCTATCCCAGTACTAGTGCGCATGTCTTAGACGTGTCTTCAAGACTAGACGTGATTATCAACACATACCTGTGGTCCAACGGGCCTGCCGCCGCTGGGCTCATGATCGAGGATAAGGAGCCTCTCTTCTGTTCCACCGGAGACGGCGAGACGCGACAGGATACGAGGCGCGTTTGAGCGCGACCTCAAAAGAGACGCGTATCTAGGAAGGTACACATGATTGTGAACGTCGATCAACAGTCGACTGGACATTGAATTTAATTGGAAGTAGGTATGCGGTGATAGACGATAAAGCAACGACAGGTACGACAAACAAACAAGGGGTATTACAGCGGATTATGAGACTAGTGTAGTATGTGACAGAGACAATGTCCACGTATTGAAAACAACATTTACTCCTTTTTTCTGAACATACCAAGCGTATGTTGACCTCCACATGCCGCACCTACTGCAGCCCATGCGCCTCCGGTTCGCCTGACAAGAACCGTAGGCACCTGAGCATTGGTCTCGTCTCCCAAGCCCAGTTCTCCTTGGTTTCCTTCACCCCAAGAATAAAGTGCTCCATCCCGGCTGATAGCTAGATTGTTGCGAATACCAGCAGAAATACTGACAATCGGATCCTCCTTTGTGTCCACTGGGAACTTAAGTTCGGTGGGGGTGATGATATAGTCCAACGTGCCGTTCTCTCCAAGCATCTGTACACGTTCGACAACGACAGGGTGGTCGAGGGGAAGGCCCAGTTGTCCGCCGTCTCCTCTTCCGCAAGCAAAGAGCCGTCCATCGGAGGTTAGGAACAGCGTGTGATGCTCTCCTCCGTTTATCTGTACAACTCGTGCTCCACCAAGTTCTTGGGGGGAAAGGCCCTTCACCTGCTTTGGAGCCATGACAATTGGCTCCTCATCGTCGTATTGATCACTGGTGCCAGTCTGACCCATGTTGTTGAGACCCCATCCCCACACTAAGCCGTCTGAGTCGACAACATATGATGTGTAGCTCCCAGCCCCGATAACGGTAGACTTGCGACTCTTCTTGCCAATGATGACACGCTCGGGTTGGACACCGTTGATTTTTCTTCGCTCCAGGATTTTGCGGCCAAGCTGGCCTTGCTCCGCAGCTCCCCATGCGTACACAGCTCCGCTGGCTGTGAGTACCAAGAGATGGTTATTTCCGTTTGCGATTGCGACGCATGCTTCTCTCTTAGGGCCAGCAAACATGGGCACAGGAGTCCATTGATGACTTGAAGCGCTGGAGAAGCCCAAAGCTCCTTCATTCGCCTAGTCGAATTATCATCAGTCTTTTTGCATACACGATGCCCGATGAAACCCACTTTGAATGAACCCCATACTCGAAGCGACCCGTTTGTACTTATGGCCGCTGAGATACTATCACCAGCAGCGATGTCAACAGCTCTAAAGTTTTCGTCGGCGAGGGATTGCAGAACATGAGGTGTAGACGTGAGGATGTCGGTGTTGAGGAAGTGACCTGGATTATCAGGATCAGGGACATCCTTCACAGGTCTACCCAGTGCAGCATCGTCGTTGACGCCACAAGTCCAAATCTAAATGACCATGCTTTAGTTTTAGGGGAAACATTTCAGGAGGCGGAAAGACTGACTCTTCCAGCTTCATCGATGAACATCGTATGAAGGCCACCGGCGGCAACGGCTTCAATTCCAGCACCCTCGCCCCCAAATTTACTCTCCTGCATCCCCATCTCCATCCACGTATTTTTCTTCGGCTTTTCAAACTCTCCAAGATGCTGATGTCCCATTCCGAACTGGCCGAAGTTGCCTGCACCCCAAACAAAGAGTTGGGCTCCGGGACGCGTGTGATTGGGCGGTATTGGAAGGGCATTCATTGCCTTGGGAGGTAGATACGGTGTGGGTTGCTTGAGGGGTTCAGCGGGCTCGGCTGATTTTCGAACGCGCTTTTTGGGAGGCGGTTCGTCGTGTTCTCGAGGCTGCTCACCCTCGGCAACGTTGACTCGTTTCGTTGCGGGACGTCCTCTTTTTTTAGGGACAGGTGTCGAGTCAAGTGGAGCGTCGGTTTTCTTCGCTGCTGGTGGTTTCACTGCAGCGTTCTCCTTCGTTGCGCGTTTGGGAGCGGGCAACACTGGTTCGGGGGATGCAGCGCGTTTCCGTGATGACACTCGAGTAGGAGCTGTCTTTGCGGTGGTTGCCGTGGGCTGTTTCTTGGGAGGCATGATGACAAGGAGGAAGTTGAAGGAAAGTTGGCGAAGTCAGGTGGCAGAGAGGTAATCGTGCCCTCTTGATTAGAGACGTGTGCTGCAGATGTGTGAGCTAGTGAAGAGGAGTGGCCCGTATAGAGATTAGCTGCTGTTCGAGTGGACAAGAGGCAGAATGGGTGCACTACAAATGGCAGACAAGGCAGTCGAGACAAGTTCAACTTGTGTAATAAATTCAAACACCGACTCTCCGAGATTAGGCGACGCGGTACCGATTTCAACTTGACGGAACTTCCGAATGCTGGCAAATGCTTGACTCTTACGATTCTGGGTCTGTGTTCTCGAATTTCTTTCACAAGTGGGACACTTGCGTACAAAGGAAAAGTTCTGTAATATTGCATTAACGAGGGACTATGATACATGAAGGTATGTGAGGCGCAAGCGAAGTTTTCCATGCCTAGAAAAAAGGTCGCAGGAAACATTATAAGCACCAGAATGCATCGCTCTTGGTCGTCAACATTGGGCACACGAAACGTGGAACATGTCGTCAAAGTACCTTGGTAAAAGATGACCGTGTTGTAAGAATGGGTTGTTCGGAAGGCTCCCTTCGAAGTTTATAGGTCTGACTTTAGGGCCGGGAGACGCGCATAAAAACGAGAACTGAACAAAACCAAAAAGGATGAGGTCTCGCCGAGATTCGAACTCAGGTTAGTGGAATGCATGTTTCAGAATCCACTGTGATAACCGCTACACTACGAAACCAGATGGTGGGGCTTTGCTTCTACGAGTCATCACTAGCTTTCTGCTGCACGTACTATCCAAGTCCCTGTTCTCTCTTTCCGCTTCTTCGTTTTACGCCGCAACAACTAGGAGAATATCTATCCCTCATACGATACCACCGGAGGTTGAGGTTTCCGGCACATGAATTGTTTTTGATCAAATCTCCCAGTATGATGATTCAGTGCAATCTTCACTTCTCAAGACTCCAGAATTCCCAGCAGAGCCAGCAAGACGGCTTTCGGCGTTGCGCTGGGGGCTCAGCAGGGATTACGAGATACCATAAGTGCAGTGTCGTCGCTACAAAGGGTCTGATTTTTTACGGCACGGACACAACACTTACGATACTGGTCCTTTTTTATATTTTCTAGTCATCTCGGGTCTCGAATTCAAAACGAGTTGAGTCCGCAATGACATTTCTGTTGAGCATTTGTTTGATTCAGACTCAAGCCATCGACACTTGACCCTCATGTGTGAAAGGTAACTCAATAGACGGAGACGCCATAATGCATCCGCGACCAGCGTTGGAAATAATGCGTGAATTTGATATCGCAAAGGCGCGATTAGCACAGTAACTTGGGGAAGTCAGGGTGGGTATATGAAATGAAGCGCAGCTCGCTCTTTTGTTGATGATAAGCATGGCAATCGAATGCGTAGCGTGGATTCGTGGTATGTGAGTTCAGCACTGGTAGTAGTACTGGGCCGTTCAAGCCGTTCATTTATTTCATCTCCTAAAAAGGACCTTAATCCTCGAAAGCGGAGCGGAAGCATGGACATCGCGAAGAACATCCAAATACAATTCATGTATAGTTGCTCTACGGTTATCAAATTTTCTTTTCAAACCCTTTCAACTGGTTTCGTAGTGTAGCGGTTATCACAGTGGATTCTGAAACATGCATTCCACTAACCTGAGTTCGAATCTCGGCGAGACCTCATTCTTTTTGGTTTTTTCTTCCGGTCACTTTCTCACGGTTGTTCTGCATGAGATCGCGTTGCGGCGTCTGTCCTCTGCCTTTTAAGGATAGGCGCGCTCCTCACCTCTTGCTCACAACCACCACTTTCTCTCCCTTACCCTCATCGTAGTTTTACTCAATGCCACCACGTATTGCTCCCCGCGGCGCTGGCGGTGGTCCTCGTGCTGCACAAGCCCGCGTGGCAGATCATGTCACCACCATTGGTGTCCGACGACCTGAACCAGGAAAGGCGGGCACGCCCATGGAAGTCATCACTAACCACTTCAGAGTCAAGATCCCAGACACGATCATACATCACTACGATGGTACGCATATATGCATACCTACTTCTTCTTATATATGCTGATGATTAACGGTCTTCATCGTTAGTCGGTAAGTGCTACGCCTTGTATTGTGTTCTGTAGCAGATCTAACGTCGTCGTCGTCGTCTTCCAGTGATATCACCATCGCAAGATTTCCCGATACGTCTCAATATGGAGCTGGTGACTCGTCTCCAGACTGTAGTAGCCAAGGAGATTTTCACTCCTCGGGCCGTATACGATGGGCGCAAGAATCTCTTCGCTGCCAGAGAGCTGCCTTTCGGACCCGGCGTCAAGTCAAGAGAGGTACGTGCCAGTTGCCTCGCTCCCCTTCTTCATTGACTCTCCCTTAGTTCGAGTTCCCTTTGAATGTCAGACCGAGCGATGCCAAAGACCCTCGCGGCCCCAAGCTCTTCAAGATAACACTCACTAAAGTTGCTGAAATCAACCCTGAAGTTCTCATCCGCTTCCTGCAAGGAAAGCAATCTCACGATAACATGGTTTTGACGGCTATCACAGCCCTCAACGTAATAATCCGAATGGAACCAACTTTGTGAGCATATATGTACCTGTTTATATGCTATTGTCTGAAAGGGGATCGCAGGAAATATCCCTTCAACGTCCGTTCTTTCTTCACTGATAAAGAGACCAAGAGCATTGGGGGCGGCATTGACCTCTGGCGAGGTTACTTTCAGTACGTATATGCTGTCGCATATATGCCACATATATTCACAATAATTTCTCTTTTAGGAGTGTGCGCCCAGCCCGCGACACGATGCTTATCAATATAGATATCAGCACTGGCGCTATGTAAGTCGATGTTCTATGCATGAGACCGCTGGTATTGATTGCATGATTCAGGTTCAAGCCAGGGCCATTGTTGAACCTTTGCGCAGACTTCTTGCGAAAGGGTAACAGGCCCCCTCCCACACCCGCTCAACTCGCACCGCGTGCAGGATTCCCCGACCGAGAGCGTCTTCGCCTTCAACGATTCTTATTCGGCGTCCGCGTTACCGTCGTTACCGATTCGGCGGAATCTGGACCAAGAGCTCCCCGTGTCATCAAAAAGATTTCCGAAGCTGGAGCCAACGACTTGATGTTCGAGCTGAGGGAAGGAAGGCGCCTCAGTGTTGCGGTAAGCTCATGCTAGACCCTATTCATCTGAAGCACGAGGCTGATTACGATCTAGTCATATTACAGAGAGACATACAACAAGAGTCTCAAATATCCCGATCTACCATGTGTTCTAGTAAGTTCCCAATGCACTGCGTCGTCTTCCCCATTTCATATTCTGACAGGTCGGATCTGGGGCCTGGATCCCTCTCGAGATCTGCGTTGTACCGAAAGGACAGATCATGAGGAAACAAGTTCCCTCAGAGTTGACGAAGGATGTCTTGGACTTTGCTACCAAGCAGCCTCAAGAACGCCTCAACAGCATCCGCAATGGATTGAGTGTACGTCGGCTTCATTTGATCTGCGTTTGCTCTAAGTTTAAAATGCATGAACAGGTCTTGGCGTACGAGAAGTCGGAATATGTCAAACACTTCGGAATGAAGTTAGAATCAGAAGACCCCATGAAAATCAAATCTCGTGTGTTGGCTCCTCCAACCCTGAAGTATGGCCCTGGCAGCAGGCAGCCGACGATCGTAAGAGCCACGTATTCCGAGGGAGTACTGAACTAATTTGGGGCGTGTAGATGCCAAGAGACGGCTCTTGGAACATGGTCGATAAGAAATTCTACCAGCCAGCGAAAGTTGAGGGCTGGATTATCGTTATATACGAGAATCAGGGACGCTTTGGCGATGCAAAGGTGAGGGGGTTAATCGATGGCCTTGTCAGGGGCTGCGAGGAAGTTGGTCAGTCCTTATAATCTAAGACGTGATTGACCTCCAGTCTAATACCCTCTCTTAGGCATCTCTGGCATGGATCGCAATCCGGTGGTCAGATGGGAGAATGGCCAAGGAAACGTCATTGAGGTACGAAGTTATTCCCCCCTACGAATCTGGTCTAACAGTGCACCCTCTAGCAATTGAAGGCAGCCGGGTTGGCCATGAAGACCGCCCAGAACCGTTTCCCGGGCCTCATCGTTGCAATTTTGCCTGACGGCGGCAATGATATCTATACCAAAATCAAACAGTACGTCTTCCTTTCTTACTCTCCCCTGCAGGATCATTCTGACGACATCATATCAGTTTCGGCGATGTCATGGTACGTTAGGCTCCTCGTACGAGTCGTGATCTCATGTTCTTCGAAAGACTGGCGTAACAACACAATGTCTCAAGAGCGCTAAAGCGGCTGGCGCAAGACCACAATATTTCGCTAATGTACTCCTCATCACTCCTCCCGTTGACATTGGCTGACATGCTTTTCTTTCGTCAGGTTTGCTTGAAGTATATTGGCCCCCTTTCGACACAATCCTCGGCTGACTTTGTACAGGTTAAATGTTAAACTCGGAGGGATCAACACGATTCCAGATGCTCGCTCCGTTCCGTTCTTGTCAGATGTGAATAATCCCACCGTGGTCATTGGTACGTTCGAGAAGCAACTCTTTTGGACAAGATCCTGAACTTTATTTGCAGGAGCGGATGTGATACACCCAGCCCCTGGCTCCCAGGGCAGACCATCCTTTACTTCAGTAGTAGCGAGCGTCGACTCCTCGACGAGCAAATACATTGCTACCACCCGAGTGCAAACTTCCAGACAAGAAATTATCGAAGATTTACAAGAGATGTGCAAGGTCAAATAACCCTGACAATATCATCATTTCTACGGGTTTACTAACTTCTGTTGTTTCCACAGTATGTCATTGATATGTCGTGCAAATACCGAAAGAATGTAGAGAAGAAGTCAATCATCTTCCCCAAACGAATCATCTTCTATCGCGGTGCGTGTCAAACCCCATTTCAATGAGTGCATATACTAATGCGAGGTTATAGATGGTGTCTCAGAGGGACAATTTAGAACTGTGCTCGACGAAGGTGCTTATCATTTCACTGCCCTTACATTCTCACTCACACCTCTCGTTGCAGAAATACCGAAAATCAAGGGTAAGCGGATCGAGCCCACGTTGACTATGGCTGACGTTGTACAGCTGCATGCCGCGAACTCGGAATGAAAGATCTACCCAAGATCACCGTCGTTGTGGTCGGAAAACGCCATCATGTCCGCTTCTTCCCAATGGCTCCCAGTCAAGGGGATAAAAGCGGGAACTGTAGGGCTGGTACAGTCGTGGACACGGATGTCTCTCATCCTACGGAGTTCGACTTTTATTTACTCAGTCATGGCGGATTACTGGGAACAAGTCGCCCAGCTCATTACAGCGTCTTGTTAGTCCTTCCCCAGCTTGACTACTATTCATGCTTACTTATATCACGCCTCAGGTACGATGAAAACGGTTTCAGTTCGGACGGAATGCAGCAACTCTCCTTCGCTTTGTGCCATGTCTATGCGAGGGCGACTCGTTCAGTTTCGATTCCGGCCCCCGTCTACTGTGAGTTCATTCAAAAACTACCTCCGTCAGATTGCTGATCTCTGTTTCGAAGACGCTGACATAGTTTGTTCTCGCGCAAAAAATCACTATGCTCCGGGTCAACACGGCTTTGAATTCGACGACTCCGGAACTGCAGCGATGTCTGATCCTGCTCAGCAACAAAAGACGCTTCAAGAATTCAAATCAAGATTCATGCCTCTCCATACTTCAACTGCGTTGAAGATGTACTTCGTGAGTGAACCTTGCATTGGTTCGAGCTGCCGCTGACGTGCATGAACAGTCTTAGGAACCTCACAGCTTTGAACTTCGCTTTTGCTCACTGACCCTTGTTGTACGTCATTCATATTTGGTCATCGTCTTTGTCCTGCTCTGCTTTCGCTTCCTTTCGCATGCAAATCGTTTCTGTAGCTTGTTGTGCTGTAAAATAACCGAACGTAACACTTGTAATCACTCTTCGGCTGGCTTTGCTCAATCAAATAAATGCATTGAGAAAAATCCTATCGGACCAAAGTATGCGAGACTAAGGAACGAGACAAACAGGAAGAAAAGAAACAATAAAGTACACAGGTTCCAATTACAATTCGTCGTGATGTTCAGCTGGGGTCTGAGCAGTGATTTTGGCCGATGCCGTCTTCTGACCTTTGAAAGGAACCGCAGGATCCAGAGGGTTCTTGGCATTTGACTCGACGAACTCGATGAGGGATTCGAGAGATCGGTCGCCTTCATAATCAATGAAGTCGCGAGAACCAGCGGGCTTGAACTTCAGTGTCGGGAAACCACCAACGCGGAAAGGAACCGAAGGAGGAAGGTCGTTCTCGGTAGCTTCCATTTTAGCACTGCAAACAAAGGTCAATTGGCAACTCTAAAAACGTCAAATTCAGAACGCACATGGTAAGGCGGTCCTTGATCGCCTCGTAACGGGAACCGAGGTCGTCCCAGATGGGCTTCAAGCGCTTGCAGTGACCGCACCACGAGGCGTAGAACTCCAAGAAGACATCCTTCTCATCGTCAAAGACAACGGAATCGAACTCTTTGCCAACGAGAGTATAAACGCTCTCATCCTGGCTCTCAGGGACAGGTTGGCTCTTAAGAGAGGGCTGGAGAGTACCGGCGACGTAGGCCTCGGTGTGCTCGGTGACTTTGGCGAGGTCCAAGCCAAGATCCTGATCC